TTGAGTTCCATCTTAATAAGGTCAATCTTATTAAAAGGAGTGGTCCAATATCTGTCTAAGTTGGTCAATATTTCGATATTTAATCGATGTAGAATTTATTTCCTTAACATGTCCCCACAAGATGGTGGTTCTTTTTTAGCAGACCAATCTCAAAATTCGTGTGCTCATTTTTTAGATTTAATCGGATCGAATAGCTCGTTGGAGCTTAATGGGGTCTGATACCAAATTAAGATTTGGGGTACATCTTAATAAAGTCAACCTTATTAAGAGGAGTGACCCAAAATTTATTTAAGTTGGTCAATATTTCGGTATTTAATTGATGTGAGATTTATTCTCTTAACAATCATGATAATAACAAAAGCAAAAACAAAATAAAATAAAATTTATGTCTTTCAGGATGGTGACAGTCCCAGCGAAAAACACTTACCAGTTCCAGTCTTTGAAATAACATTTCAAACTAAATTTTTAATAATAGTGTATAAATCATACTGAAAATAGCATTCAATCTAACCTCTAACCTTAGTCAACATACTGAAATCAGCAAGGAATATAACACGGTAATATATATATTCACACACACACCCCTATTGGATGGCTCTTGGATCTTGGCAAATTTAATCCCTTTTTTTGGTCCAATTAAAGCCTGACTTATTCCTCTATATATCTTGCTTACCCTAGCCCATTTTGTGTGTGAGTTGTGTACAGAGAGAGAAATAACGTGGTTGCCTACTGTTGGAGAAAAAACTTGTGCAATTGAGAGTGAAAATCAGTGACTTCCTCGTTTTGGTCACCTCTTTGTGTGCATTATTCATTGTTTTTCCTGTGTCTTTGTGGCTTGCAAATCAACACTGTTATCTTGCTATTTGTGGATGAGATTGAGAAGCAATCGAGATAAATATATTGATTGTATTTCAGAATCGTTTGGATTGGTTATTTGATAGAGAAATGTGACGTGAAACGAAACTGAGCCTAAAAACCATCGTTTCAAAGATGTCGGAGCGAGCTTCCACATCAATTGAAATGATTATGACAATGATATTTATGGTCTTAGTCCTGTGATGAACGGCCGCCACCATTACAAAGCCTTATTTCCAAAAAGAACTTGGGGTCAACTAACTCTCATTTTAGCCCGTTCGTTCAATCCACTAGTTCCACTACTAAGTTTATGCACTTTGAGGATTTTTATTTTTGTGGAATTGAGAATTGAGGATTTTGTGAATTTGAGAATCTTGTTGCTGAATGATGAGGTTTATGATCTATGAAAAATGGGAAATTTGTGAATTTGATAATATTTCATAGACGTGGACTGTGAATTTGATTTGTTAAATGATAAATTGGAGAATTTGTGTGATAAATAATACATTTGTTGTTGGAAATCGGAAATTTAAACTTGATAGACTGATAGTTTAATATGTGATATACACGATTTCTACATTTTAGTGCATTCACATATAGATTAGAGAACTTTTAATATTATTAAATTAAATATTAATAAATAACCTTGTTATTACGATCGTTGACTGTTGATGATCAATAGTTAATCGTCAATGATCGCTCTAGCTAACGTCGAATTCCGAATCCGCTACTATTTATGTCTAAAGGCAAAATGTCCTAGCTTGTTAGGTAATCGGAATGGGAACATAAAACAAGTTCACCGTCTCAAATTTCTTGAACTTGTTTCAGATTTTTTACTTTATTTTATATTAAAATTATTTTTTCTTAATTTTTTACCACACATCATCCACAAAAATTATTTTACATGTAAAAGGGGTTCGAAAATCTGATAAAGTTGAATATATAAACAAGTGGGATAACGAGGAAGTGCACTTGAATTGAGGGTAGTGCACGTGGCCGCATGAGTGGTCCACTGCCTAGAGTGGTGGGAGCGCCAAGTTATATAAGATTTAATTGAGTCTTAAAAACTCAAAATCATGCTATAAGTAAAATTTTACAGACAATACATGACGAGAATTCATCGAAAGATAGAAAAAAAAAGGGAAAAAAAACAGACGGATCTGATGTTGCCACGATAATTGTTGACCTACAAAAACGTGTCAACAAGTTTCAATAAAAAAAATGCACACGTGAACGTATTCTTCCATATATTGACTGTAAGCTTAGACACGTGTTCAATCCTAATTAATACTATGTACCTCTCTGATAAAAGTAAATGAAATATGTAATTGAAAAATTGATAAAAATTGTAGGCTCAATAAAATATATTTTTAAAAGTAATGGTTAATTTTGACTTAATTTTTATCAGCATTTTAAATTGTACCAAGCATGGATTATATATTAAACGCGTTACATTGAGGGGAAAGAAAAGGATGAATACTTGCAGTACGGTACCATTAATGTACTCCAACTTTCACCTATTGTTCGCTTTAGAAAACTAACCTGATTGATACATACTAACCATCAGCAATGAACAAACTTTGGAGCTCTTACGTCGCCAAAAATCTTAACATGCAATCCACTTAAATAGCATTTTCCTCGTTGAGCACTACTCACAATATAATATACATTGTTAACCAAAAAAAAAAAAAAAAAAAAAAAATAAAATAAATTAAAAAAAATAAATAAATTAAATTAAATTAAATTTTGGATGATTGGATTGTACTGAATAATAATATAGAATGTCTCTCGCAAGACTATCATATTTCACTACAAAAAATTTCACTTTAAACAATGAATATTTTTGTCGTAAAAAGTCATTTTGGGTTGTGATAAGTTCATTTTGTGCACTTATTCGAATCACATTACTAAGCCCCTGTTTGGTCCCCATTAAATTCTATTTCATTTTTTTCTCTTCTATTTTCAACTACACAATCTTCCATAAAATAATATTGCACGTAAATCGAAAATTTTTCCTTCCTTTTCAACCATTTATTTTTTAAAAAAAAACACTATTTCACTGATTTTTACTCCAAAAAAGGGGGGCCAAACAGGGGCTAAACTTTTATGTCATGACAGTGTTGACTTCTACTTGATTTGGGTTAATTTTTGTTTATTTTAGTGTTGGACCTGTCTCTAAGCAAGTGGAAAAGAAAAATGGTGAAATCCAAAGTATGATGGCTAAAATTTCAATGTTCTAATAGTTGATTCAAACTACAAAATGAAGATTAAAGATGTTACATATCTAATTGGATGCAATTAGAAGTTGAAGGGTTTACATTGCGAGAGAAAGGATTTAAAAGAAACAAGAATTGAATTCGGAGACTAAAATGCAAAATTTGAAAGTTGACATTATATTTTCCTGGCGACCTCCTGGACATGAAAACCAATTACCGAAGCTGAAAGGGATGCCTGTGCAACCTCATGGGTTTTTTCTTGGCAATCGATGCAGAAAAAACTAGTTTTGTTTCAGAATTTCAATCCAATAATGAAAATTCTTCTCGGGCCAATTTTACACAAATTCTAAGGAGTTTGGTGACTTCTAAGAAAGTACTATAAATATCAACTATCAACACATAATTAGGGTGAAGAATTTATTGCAAAAGGAGGCAAAGAACACATCAAAATTCAAGAACATTAAGATTGAATTCAAAAAAATTTCGGATGATGAACAGCTTTTATATCATTTGCTTTCTTCTTCACAATATGTTAGGCTAGATTTTAATGTGTTAGACAAATGATGAATCTTGTAATATGAGTTTTTAATCATTAATTTTACATATTTGACATTAAAGTACGTTTTTGAATTTTGAATGATTTATATAATTATCTTTTCTCTACAATTATTATGCACAGTAGTTGTATGAATTTGTTGGCTTATATTATGTATTTGAAAGAAGAAAAATACATGATGTAAACTGTCATAGAGTATGATAGGAGATCGAAATTTACCACTATACTCTATGTGAATATTTAAATGTTCATAAAAATTCATACACTCTTGTATGTTCCCATCCGTTATAGAAATATAGTCGAGTCATATATGATAGTAGATTTAATATTACTCAAGAGAAATTCTTGAATAAAATAGGAACATTAATTCTTCAATATTCAATCGTGTTGTCAAAGTATAAAACTAAGGTTAAAAATGATTATTACATGATAATTCAAAATCTTGGCGTGTTTGTCAATCATTAGAACGCATCAACTTTCATTTAGCATAATTTGCATTTAATTTAGTTAATTCACTCATAATTACATAAATAGCTAAGTTTAATTATAATTTAGTCACCTTACTGTTGTTTCAGTTAAGGTCACGATAATTAAAATCGAAAAAAGTCAATCTCTATAGGATGATACTTGCATTCAATTCAACTTTATTACTTGTTAATTTAGTCACCTTACTGTTGTTTCAGTTAAGGTCACGATAATTAAAATCGAAAAAAGTCAATCTCTATAGGATGATACTTGCATTCAATTCAACTTTATTACTTGTTAATGAACCATACAGTCTTACGGTGGTTCTATTTCAAAAGATGTTTTCGTGAACAGGTCGTTTGGTTAAAAAATGATCATCGACAAAGATTTCAAGGCAAAAAAATTTAGTCATTAAACGTGAAATTTCTTGTGGGGTACTTTACTTTCAAAGAAAGGCTAAGATGTTGATATTTTTACATATAGATAGTATCGAAAATTGAATAAGGAATAGTTAACTCGATAGCACTTTGAATTACATCACTTAAAACTATTAGAAGGTGAATAGTTCAGTAATTTATTTCTATCTTGACTTTCTCCAACGTCGTGCCTCGAGTGCATAATTGATATTTGAACTCCAAAAAATAATCTAATATAAATTTAGAAAATATTTGTTAATTGCAGTATTGTTGATCGTACAGCGTAATTAGAACAAAAGTTGGAAATGCTTGGTTTCAAAGCACAACAATGAACTCTACTTCTACATAATTTATCTTGATTGAGTAACTTAAAAGTATTGAATTTTCATGCATCAAACTGGAAATTTCGCAACTTATTTATTAAGCACATCAAAACTATATATAGCATATGTTTCTGTAGCAATCTTATTATCATCTGCTTCGACTTCTGAATTCTTGGTTTAATCTAATCGTCTCTCTAAATTTCCAAATAAAATGGCATTCCAAATGATCTGTTCTTCAATAATTCTTCTTATTTTTGTCACAATTCCTCCATTGACAGAAGCAATTCTTGATCCCCATTACTACGATAAACCATGCCCACAAGCTGAAAATATTGTCTCTCAAACAATTCGAAATGCTTCAACTTTTGACCCTAAAGTTCCAGCAAGAATTCTCAGGATGTTCTTCCATGATTGTTTCATTAGAGTACCCTCTCTCTCTCTCTCCCCCCCCCCCCCCCCCCCCCCCCCCCCCCCCCCGGCACGTAACAATTTCATAAATCAAGCCTTGTGCGGTTGCCATACCATGTTAACCATTGTATCTTGATAGCTAGAGACTACCTGTATTCATCTTCAACAGTTAGGCAGCCACTAGCGCCATGTTAGGAATGTGGGCGTGACACCATTCAATAGAATGATATGCGAAAAAGAAATTAATATCTTGTTTTATGCATATCATAATAAACTCTAAAATCTTGTTCCCTATATATAAATATTGTATGTTCTATTTAATAGGTCGTGCTAAACATGCTCTAAATTTACAATTTCTTTTGTTGGGTAATAGGGATGTGATGCATCTGTATTGCTGGATTCAACACCAGAAAGCAAAGCAGAAAAAGATGGGCCTCCAAATATCTCACTCAGAGCCTTTTATGTGATTGATGAAGCCAAAACCAAGCTTGAAAAGGCTTGTCCTCGTACAGTTTCATGTGCTGATACATTAGCCATTGCTGCAAGAGACGTTGTCACCATGGTAATTTTCACGATAGAGGTTTAATTTTCATGATTATGTGCTAAAAGGCTTAATTTTCCCGATTATAATCCAAATTATTATTATTATTATTATTATTATTATTATCAACGTCATCATCGTCATCGTCGTCATCATCATCTATCTTTTTGTTACACTTTCTCAGTCTGGAGGTCCCTCTTGGGAAGTACTCAAAGGAAGAAATGATGGAAGAATCTCAAGAGCAAATGAAACCATAAATTTACCAGCCCCATCGTTCAACACGTCTCAACTCATTCAAAGTTTTTCCAAAAGAGGCCTTTCCATTAAAGATTTGGTTGCACTTTCTGGTGGACACACACTAGGGTTTTCCCATTGTTCTTCCTTCGAAGCTAGACTTCACAATTTCAGTTCAGTGCACGACACTGATCCAAGCTTGAACGTCGAGTTTGCAGAGAGCTTGAAGAGGAAATGCCCGGAACCAAACCATGATCAAAATGCGGGACAGTTCTTGGATTCATCTGCATCAACTTTTGATAATGGTTATTACAAGCAAATTCTTGCAGGGAAAGGTGTGTTTGCATCAGATCAATCACTATATGGTGATTTCAGGACTAGATGGATTGTTGAATCGTTTGCAAGAGATGAAAGTTTGTTCTTTAGTGAATTTGCAGCTTCTATGGTGAAACTTGGAAATGTTGGAGTGATTGAGAATGGAGAAGTCAGATTGAACTGCAGAGTTGTCAATTGATTAATGAGAGAGGATTCTTTGATCTTTCCACTGAGTGAATATGTCTTTTGAAAAATAGTGCTTCTAATAATAGCTTCTTTTTCTTGTGACCATTTAATTTTCAAACTAATAAAATTGAAAGAAAAATATTTTCTATTAAGAAATCAACGTTTCACATGAGTAATGCATTTTTTTCCTACTACATGTTACTTTTTATTGAATAACTAACGTTTTGCGAGGTATAAAAAATTCCATTAATACTGCTGTTTCGCGCGGATAGTCGCTAACAATTAAAAAGGGATCAGACAATTGTGTAAGAAACAAACATCTTGAGACAAAGTCCCAAAAAGGGGTGTTTTATTGGCGATGATTTACAATTGGAACTAAACAGAATGCCTCCAAGAGGCGCAAGCACACGAGTACTGAAAGAAATGTTTAAGTTTAAATTAAGAAATTGAAATTACATATTTTCTATTTGAGAGTGTTTGATTCGAGGTCCTTTTTTCTCTGTGTCTTCTCTTCCTTTTATATTCTCTTGATGATTTCTTTGTGACAAACTGTTTGATTGCTTTATAACTACCCATTTTTTTTATGTTGACTAACTTGTCGTGGAACTGCTGTCTCTAACTGTTGCTACTACTCTTTGTCGTTCAACCGCCTTCAACTGGATTCCTTGAATCGTGGAATGTGATAAGATTACTCAATAACTGTTTCAATAACTGCATTTCTGGATAACCATAACATTTTATGTTTGCTAAAATCTTGGGCGATTCGAAGGTATGGGCGAGAACATGGTCATCGCTCTGGGCGACTGTAAGGCACTTCATTCGCTCAAATCTTGAGCGTCTTGCAAGCTTGGGTGATGATGTTACTGTGTTCGTGGGCTTCCACTGCATTCATTAATAACCCCGTTTGGGCCTTTATCTTGAATTGCCCAATTGGGCTTCATTCTTTGAGCTATTTGATTTGGAAATTCCTCAATTGGGCTTTATTCTTTGGGCTATTCGATTTGGACTGTACTTTTAGTGTGTCAACAATTACCCCCCAATATGGCAGAATTAATACTAATTATTACTTTTTGTCATATTCACTTCGTATTTTTCAGCAATATTTGAAATTCCCAAGAATTTCAATCATTATTTCCTTCTACAATCTGAAAAAGTATAACATTACAAACCCTTATAAACCAAAAGGACACGCCATTTCATTGCACCACTCGACCACGTCTATATTTCGCGCTTCTTCCTTGCTATTTTACTGTTCATCTTCTTGCTTTTCTGCTACGTTTCTCAGGCAAACTTTGTCAAAACTGTATTTTGTTTCCAATGGTGACTTCAAAAACTCAATCTGATGATTCCTTTAGTTTCGAAGATTTTCAGAACCTCCTTACTAGGCCATATGTAAATCCAAACTTCCTTACACAAGTTAGTGCTGACTTTAATGAATTTTACTTGGGTCCATCATTCAATAATGCCGAAGTCGTCGAACAAGTGGCGGTGGGCCAGCTGTTCCCTTGCACTCATGACCCTCCATTCCTGAATTCTTTGCCGCTGAAGCCAATTCGCGAAAAAGGTATTCACACTTGGCCTAAATCTGATGTTATTTTTCGTAGATGGCATGCTCGCCTTGTGGGCCATGGTCTTACCAAGGCAATTTTTGATCATGCTAGGATTTCTAATTTATTAGAAATGGCTCTTCAACCCCCAATTTTTGACCCAGTGCTTTTTCTTATTGCTTTAAGTTTTTGGTCTTTTGAATATAATACCTTTGTTTTCCCTCTTGGTCCCATGACTATTACTTTAAGGGATGTTGGGGCCCTAGTAAATCTTCCACCTTTGGGCGATATCATTTTCCCTGGTATTTTGATTTCCGATGTCGCCCCGAAATTTGACAAGAAACTCACTGAATCCTACTCAAGCCTGCAAAGCTCTTATAATCACTTAAGCGTTAAACATTCCCATGCTAAGCGTGTGGCCTTCCTTCAGATTTAGCTTTGTAAATATATTCTTTGCGTGCCAAGTATAAAACCTTCCATGAGCTACTTACCCATAGCGCATGAATTGGCACGTGGTAGGTCTTTGAACTTATGTTCTTTCTTTCTAGCCGCCCTTTATAGAGGCATGGCTTCCCTTCAGTTTCAACTGAAGAATGGTGCATCTCCCACTGGCAGTGGCCCCCTTTGGTTCACTCAACTGTGGTTGAGAGCATATTTTCCACCACTTGGCGCTCCCGTTAGTTAACTCTTTACATATTGAACACACGCTCCATCCATTTCCAATCGTTCTGCTAGCTGCTATGGGCTAGCCATTGATCCACTGACCCCTGTACATATGTCCAGTAGGGACATTTTTTCATTCTTTTATTCCTTAAATTCGATTCCTTCTTTCTTTCCTTTTCCTGCTCATTTGACTTTAGATTATGTGCAACCTCCATCCACCCTGGACAGTGCGAGCGCCTCTCTGCTCGTTTGGGTTCAGTTTTTGACTGGGAGGGAGTTGTTCCATGATATTTTAACTGAAACCAATGCCAAAGCTGGGGTTGAAATATATGCTCCCTAATTTTTTGCTCGCCAACTTGGTTTTGGCCAAACTTGGCATGTTCCTTCTTGCTATTCAAAAAATTTGACACACCATTAATAAGGCAGAGGCACAAGCTATAGATGCTCGCAACATTCTTTTGACGAGTAAATTTTCATTAGCCCCCTTTAATTCTAGCCGTGCCATCTATCCCCTTTTTGAACAACTCTGGCCATCAGTGAAGCGCAGATTGTTTGCAACTGATGCCAATCGTGCTTTCCATTCACTGGACCAGCCAAACACTTCTTCCACTTCTCCTATTTTGGTCACCCTGTGTCCATTAGGAATCATTTCTCCCCTACTCGTGTTAAAAAATCTATTCATCCATCTACTTCTCTACCTGCCAAGGCTACTGCAGCTAAGAGTACCTTAAGCTGCAAACGGCCAGCTTCAGCATCTCCCATTTTGGAGGATGATGATGATGATAACGCTCCTCTCATCGTTAGGAGAAAGGTAATTGAATTCTATTTATTCACAGACATACCTTTTTATGTGCTAATGGTTTACTTGAATTTCTCAGAAAAGTTCAGCCTCTCCTTTGAGGGCTTTGGTGTTGGCAGCTCCATCATCCTCTGCTGAAGCTGCTTCGTCCAAATTAGCTGATGAAGAGACTATGCTTAAAGAGAAACCTTCAGTCCCGGAACCTTCATCACAACCAATGGAAGAGCCACCTTCTTCCCAGGGCGCCGACCCCCTAAACATTGAACCAGAAGGTAATACATTTTTTGACGTTTTACCTTTGTTTGTGCTATTGGTTTCTGATTTGTTGCTTCTTGAATTCTGCAGAGGCTCCCATGGGTCTTCCCGTTGTGGTAGAGTCTTCTCATCCAGATAAGGAGAAGTCTCCACAGTTGGTGGAGCCAACTGGTGATATGCCACTTCCCAAGATTGCTGATGAGGTAACCTGTCGCTTCACTTTCATTTTCGCTTCGTTTATTGTAATGAAAGCCCTCAATGTTGGCATTTTTCTTTGTAGGGTGCTGATGACATTGTGCGTTCCATCTAGAACTTGTTTACTTCCTGGAGGCAAGTCAAGACGTCTCGCCCTACTTCAACCGGTCGTCCTTCTGCTTCTTCAAAAGAAAATATGAAGTTCCTCAAGCAGTCGATATTTGAGTATGTGTCTTTTATGGACATGGACATCGGTCAGGCTAGTGTTGCTAAACATAAGGATAAGCTTGAGCTATTGAGTGCGAAGTTGGCGCAAGCACTGACACTTTTGTCGCTCAATATTTCTGCTGATTTTAAAGCGACGTTGAAGGTTGTCCACTCCGACATCCTCTTTTTGTTGGCCAAAAATGTTGAACTGAAGGTCAGGAGTACTCAATATCTTCGCGCTGCATCTGAAAGAGAGTATTTACTTTTAGAGATTAACAAAACCGAGGACGAATTAAAAGAAATCTCTTCCGAAGTTATGGTTGAAGACTCCTTGATGACCAGTTTGGCTGCAGAAATGAAGGAGCTTCAAGCAAGGATGGACGACTGTTAGGCGACAATGGCTGCTAAAAAGCGTAATGCTTCCCAAGGAATTGAGTGAACCAAGTCTTTGATCGAGCAGTACAAAAAGTTGGAGGTTGATGACGATTTTGTTGCTGAATTAAATGTCGCTTCTTCTCAGTAGAGCGAGGATTGGAGGAGACTTAGGAAAAGAATTCGATCGGCCTGGGGTGAATTGTAATTAAGACATCTAATGCCTTAAATTTTCCTTTTGCAACTTCATACTAACTGTCATTGCTAAATTTGAATGTAACAGCAACCATTGTCATTAATGAACGACTATTTTGACTACTTGCGTGCTGATTGACGTAGTCCTATTGTCAACCCCCCAAGCATTTAACTGCTTTATGCTAAGATTCATGTACATTCTCTCTTGGTATTTCTGTCTCTTTTTTTCAAGACTTTGGGCCACTTGACTCCAATTACTATGCACGAATGTGGCCGTTCATATTCTGTCTCTTTACCTTTATACCCCTATAAATGCGTGTTTATTTTGCACTCATCATTTTCATTTCCATTTTTTTCTTCAAAAACTAATTTGCTGCCATCGTTTGGCACCTCAACAATTGATCCAAAATTTTTGTCTTCCATAGAAATGGATCATTTGATCCTCCCATTTTGCTACCTGTTTTGATGTCACCTTTGGTATGGGAGATATAGAAAATATTTTTTGGCCAGCAAAGTTATTCCCATTGTCTCAATGATGGGAGGCAATTTTTGAGGATGCCTGTCAAGCCACCTTACTTGCTGAGAGTGCTTCTCAGTCTCCTTGCCCGTTATTGCAGCAATGCGATTAGGCAGGTGATGTGAAGGTGCTTTTCTTCCCTTTTGCTTGCTGAGAGTGCTTCTCGGCCTCTCTGTCTGCCTTTGCAGCAGTGCGATCATGATGGCAATCAAGGCCAGTCCACCCTCTTACTTGGCGATCGACCGAGAGATTAGTTTGCTCTCAATTGTAGTTTATAGAGCATTTAGTATTTTGTATCTCGCAATTTGTAATGAATGTTTGATAATAAAAGAATTTATTTGAACGTATTTCGTTCTGACCCTTTTTATATACGATCGTTCAACGCGATT